TTATCCTTTTTTTGGGGGGGGCATTCTCTGTTCCTCCTGGAGTTGAATGCCTGTTTTCTTCCTCAGATTAGGGAAGTTCTCACCTATAATTTGTCCAAATAAACCTATAATTTGTCCAAATAATAATATTTCCCTCTCTCTCTCTTTCTCTTTCTCTTTCCTCTCTTCCAAGACCCCTACTATTCAAATATTATTGCACTTTACTGTATAACTGATTTCTCAAAGCTTCCCTTCATGATCCAGTAAAAATTCTTTAGATTTTATGAATAGTAATCCCCTATCAGATATGTGATTTACAAATATCCCTTCCATTCTGTAGTTGCCATTTCATTCTGTTGATGTCTTTTGATGTACAACATTTATAACTCCCATGGAGTCCAGTTTTTCTATTTTTTATTTTGTTCTCCTTACCTTTGGTATTATATCAAAATGATTGTCAAAGCCAATGCAGATTTTGCCCTATGTTTGCTTATGAGTTTTACAATCTTAGGTGTTGCATTTATGCCTTTGATTCATATTTATTTTAGATGGTGGTAGGTAAGCATTCAAATTCATTCTTTTGCATGTAGATATGCAGTTGTCCTTTTTCCCGTTAAATGTTCTTCACATTCTTGTCAAGAATCATTTGACTATATATATGAGAGTTTATTTTGGGGTTCTCTATTCCATTCCATTAGTCAGTATGTCTGTTTTTCTGTCAGTAACACAGTGTTTTAATTACTCTATGTTTATAATAAGTTTTGAATCAGGAAGTGTGTGTTCTTCAGTTTTATTCTGTCTCACGCATCTTTCCTAGATTTGGTGGTGTTCTTTACTGGTATTCTTGGCATTTGTTGGCTTACAGCTAGTACAGGTGGGGAAAAGTTCTGCACAGAATTCATTTGTACCTTTAGAAACAAGAATTATTTTGTATTGCTGCAAGTAATCTACAATTTATAGAGTTGTAAAATAGTTTCAGATGAAGAAAAGATAGAATTTGATAACCTGAAACACTGTGCTATAAATATTACTTAGTTTCTGTTGAAAAGAACAGGAATCTTTTGTTTATTTGCAATATCCTTATAACATTTAGAAATTTCTCACATTACTTGAGAAACTTAATTGGAAGAATTATAAAAGGAAGAGGTTTTAATATTAGGTTGCTTTGGATAGAGTTCTCTCTTAAATTCCTACATAGGCTTGTAGAAGGTTTTTTTTTTTTTTTTTTTTTTTGTAATCACAAAATGAATGCTTTTTCTAGGATAGGGGAGACTAAACATTGATCACAATGAAATGCCAGAGGTTAGGCTATGTTTATGAAGTGCCTTAACATACTCTTACCTTCTTGTCTTCAGAAACCCTTGTGAAATCAACAGGATGGTGCTATTGTTTTCACATTACAGATTAGGAGACTCCTAGATAAGTTTCAGGAAGATAGCTTTCCTCCTTGAACTGGATTAGAAGCCAGGTGAAATTTGCTTCCTCCTGCTCTGAAGGCCAATCTCATTTAGTAAATACTGCATCCTGTTCCAAAATTTTTCTGATGGAGATTGCCAACATATTCTGGTGGAGGCAGCTCCAGCAGCTCTCATTTTAGGCAGCTCTTTCCATAGACTGGAAACTGAAAGGATCGTATCTTTCAACCTTTCTGTTCACCCCGTTAATTCCTGAAGAAACAACTTAAAAGCATTTCTGCATCTGGACAATCTGGATGTACTGGAACTTGTATAGACCCTAAGGGAGTTAATCCCTAGAGGGACAGCTGGATAATTCCTGGTGTAGGTTAGGGATTCCTGTGATTAAATATAATTAAATACAATTCCCATAGAGATTGGGGAGAAGATTGGCATGCTGTGACTTGGCAATGTGTGTTCCTTATCCCAGTAAATTTCAAAATTTTACCTGGCTGGTTGGACACCCAGTTATGTGGTCCTGGATCTCAGTCCATGATGCTGAGCTAAGCATAATGCAGGAAGACAGGGGGCATCTGAGAATTGCAGAGTCTTGAGAGACCAGTCTGCATGGACAGAACAGTGTTGTTGTTTTTGCACATTCATTTATTCCATTTTTATGGAACGATGAGCCGCAATTGAATGAGGAAGTCATAAAGAAATATACAGTCAGTGCTGAAGACTACAGTGCCAGTTTGGGATTGCACTTCAAGGAAATCCATGGCTTCTGTCTTGAGGAATGCATAAGGTGTCTGTCAATGCTGTCAACTTTGGCTCAACTTTCTCTTATTTGCCCTGGTGGAAGTTTTTTGGTGTCGAGGTTCAGGGGTTATTAGAGCAGTGGGCTGTGGAGGGATCCTGTGAATATGTCAAACCTGACCCAACAGTGAATTAATAAGTATTCACAAATTAGAAGTTAATCTTCTAGGGTTTAAATTGAACTGGATGCCCTTTCACTGACTACCAAGCACATACCAGCACAAGAAAGCTTTAGGCTGTGGTCAATACAAGACCCAATAGTGTTCGTAAGAGAGTGAGGAATGACCACACTGCCCTGGTTGCCGGTGTTCAGAAGTTCACAGTAATCTGCCAATAACTGGCCACCAGAAGTTAGGTAGGGGATGGGGGGAAAAGGAGAGGGAATTCTATAAAAGACTTTCTCTGACTTTTCCTTCAACAGGAAAGAGGCTCAGCGATTTTCCTTTACAAACAAAAGGCTAAATATTGTCTTCTCTTTTTCAATTTCATTGTATAACTTTTATCTTGGAAAGTTAGATCCCAGTTGTTTGACTCAAAGCATCTCCCAAACTCCTTAACAATGAGGACCCAACTTTGGAGAAACAGAATAACTGGAGGCATCCAGATTTGTAAAGAAGAAACTAATACTATTTACAAAACATACTCTTGTACACAGTGTAGAAAATATTAACAAAAACACACACACATGTGCACACATTTCTGTTAGAACTAATAAATAAATTCAGGAAAGTTGAAGTAAACAGGATCAACACCCAAAAGCTAATTGTATTTCTATAAATTAAAAATGAATAGTCTATTCCATTTTCCCTCCCTTCCCCTATGGTCCTCTGCACTATTCCTTATATTCCACATATTAGTGAAGCGATCTGATAATTGTCTTTCTCTGCTTGAATTATTTCACTTAGCATAATACCATCCAGTTCCAATGGAAAAAATATCAGAGAGGGAGACAAACCATGAGAGACTCTGGACTCCAGAAAACATGTTGAGGTTTGCAGAAGGGTAGGGGATGGGGTAATGGGGTGATGGGCATTAAGGAGAGCATGTGATCTGATGAAGTCTAGGTGTTATACATAACTAATTAATCATTGAACACTACATCAAAAACTAATGATGTACTACATGTTGGCTAAATGAATTTAATTTAAAAAAAGAAAATAAATGAGTGATCCAAAAATGGAATTAAGAAAACATTCCATTTTCAGAAGCATCAAAAAGAATAAAATACATAGGAATAAATTTATCCAAAGATGTGCAAAACTTGTACATTGAAACTACAAAATATTGTTGAAAGAAATTTTAAAAGGCCTAAAAAAAGAGTGGAAAGACTTCTGTGTTCATGTATTGGAAGACTGAAAACTGCTAGCAGTACTCATTGACAGGTGATCTACAGCTGATCCCAAAAAGATCTGCCACTTCTATGCAATCCTTTTCAAAATCTCACTTGGCTTGTGTGTGTGTGTGTGTGTGTGTGTATGCGCGCGCGCGTGCGCGCGCATGCACTTATTTTGTTTTTACAGAGATGCACAAGTTAATTCCAAAATTCACATGGGTTTACAAGGGACCTGGAAAACCAAATCAATCTTGAGAATATAGGACTAATACTTCCAAGTTGCAAAATGTACTACAAAAGTAAATACAGTATAGCAATGGCATGAGAATTGACATACACATCAATAAGAAAATTTAGAGTAAAAAATAAACAGTCACATGTATGGTCATTTGATTTGCAACAAGATTGTCAAAACCATGTAATTGGGGAAAAGAGTCTCTTGCACAAATGGTGCTGGGATAAAAAGTTATCAACAAATAAAAGAATGAAGTTGGACTCTACAATACACCATGTACAAAAACTATTCAAAATTGTTTTAAGAACTTATAAGAATTCAAAATTCTTATAAATATAAATATTAAAACTATAAAACTTTTAGGAGAAAACATAGCTACAAATCATCATGTCTAGAATTAGGCAATGGCTTCTTTTTTTAAAAAATATTTTATTTATTTATTTATTTGAGAGAGAATGAGATAGAGAGAGCATAAGATGGGGGAGAGTTAGAGCGAGAAGCAGACTCCCTGCCCAGCAGGGAGCCTGACGCGGGACCCGATCCTGGCACTCCAGGATCATGACCTGAGCCGAAGGCAGTCGCCCAACCAACTGAGCCACCCAGGCACCCAGGCAATGGCTTCTAAGATATGACATCAAAAGTACACATGCAAAATAAACTGAGTTTCATCATTATTAAAAACCTTTTGTGGCAAGAGAAACCATGAAGAAAGTGAAAAGGTAACTCACAGAATGGGAGAAATATTTGTAAATCATACCTGATACAGGTTTATATCCAGAATGTGTGAAGAACTCTTACATCCTAGTAAGAATAGCCCAAATTTTAAAAGGGCAAAAGATCTCAAGAGATATTTCTCCAAAAAGATATACAAATGGCAATAAGGAAGAGATGCTAAATATCATTCATCATGGGGGAAGTACAAATCAAACTATAGTAAGATCTGATTCACACCCCCTTGGATGGCTATAATCAAAAGAATGAATAATAGGTAGCATTGTTGAGAATGTGGATAAATGTGTTGCTACTGGGAATATAAAATTGTGCAGCTGCTGTAGAAAACACTTTCATCAGTTTTTCGATAAATTAAGCATAGAATTACCCTATAATCCAGCAATTTCTCACTCTTAAATATATACCCAAAAGAACTCAAACCAGATTATCAAATATTTGTTCAGAAATGTTCATTGCACAATGATGTTCACAATCGTCAAAAAGTGAAAACAATACAAATGTTCATCCACAGATGAATGAAGAAAATATGGAAGTCCAAGGTTTATATGGAGCCCTAGAGCGATTTGAAGAACCGAGAATCTTGAAATCATTATTGTAAGTGAAAGAAACCAATTGCTAGGCTGAGGGAGAATGTGGTGAGTATGGTTTTTTTGTGGTTAGATGATGAAAATATTCTGGATTTACACAGTAGTGACTGGACAACTTTATAGATACCGTAAAAATTACTTAATTGTACACTAAAAACATGGAGAATTGTATGGAGTGAATTGTATCTCTAAAAAAGTCTTAAATCTTGATTTTATCAACTGGAAACAATGTTCAGGAACCCTCAGAGCAACGTTTCATATTAACATCATCAACAACAACCAAAACTGACTCAGCAAACGAAGGGTATTACAAATCTAATAACGAAACAGTGGCTCACAGTAGAATCCATTTAACAAGTATTAAACGCCAACTATTTGTGTAACTGTGTTCTTGAAGCCCCGGAAGGTTAGCTAGCACTCAACAAGACACGGTCCTCATCCCACAGTAATCTTAAACTAGTAACGGACCACCAAGGTTATGATGGCTGGGCGGGGCTCTGGGCTGATGTCTGAGACCCGACAAATTATAAAAGCCAATACTCCTGAGTTTTTTCCTAAGTGTGAGGCCACCATATAGCTTAAAGCAACAGGGACAAAACAGAAGCATATAATTCCTTTGATGTATTAACTTCCCAAACATTGGAATACTTACAAAGTTTTTCGAGTACTTTCCATAACCCGAACACCACCCCTCGAAAACTACAAATCCCAGTAGGCTGTGCGCGCAGTTCTGTGGGTACTTTCCCTTTCTCAGAACCGGGAATTACGCCATAAACATTATCTGGGCTTGGGGAGCTAGGACCACGAAGCTTGCAAGGAGTGCTAGTTTTTTCCAGAGTCTTCATCAGGGACTTCGCAAACTCGTCTCGGCCAGTACCCAGCCTTTGGCGGACGAGTTCAGCCTACGGTCTAGTATTCCCCACCCCATCCCAGTCCGTTCCTTCTGGGGCCAACCTCCTCCGGTCACGTGGAAGGCCTCGTGTGCGCGATTGGTCGCCGGGGTACAGAAGCTGGGAGATAGGTCTTCCGAGCTTCCGTGCTGCTGGTTGAATTGCGGATTTGTCTGCTTCCGTCAACTTTCGGCGACTTGGGTCAAATAGGCCGTCCGGAAGGAGGCGTCCGCTTTTCCTAGCAGGTCTGTCGCGTAGATACACTGGTCACCGGGGGCTGCAGGGGTAGAGGGTAAGGGAGAATACGGTCTTTTACAAGTTGGCTTTTAACTCTTGTTTGTTTACTTTAGCCGCGGGACGAATACTCGGCTTTCTTGCCTCCCGGGGGATCACTGTGGGAGCAAGTGTGTGTTTTTATCTGTGTGACGGACTAAATGGGGTGGAAGAAACGGCCAGGGTTTGGGGGCGCGCGGCTGACAGAAGGAAAGGGAGGGAACGCAGCCCGGTCTGAAGAAATAGTATGCGAAGCCGCGGTGAGCCAGGTGTGACAGCCACGTGCGGACGGCGCCGCAGGGCCTCCGGGAGGCTGGTGTCCTCTCTTCCAGCCCCTGTCGTCTCCATGCTCCCCGCGCTGGGCACCACCGTCGGGAGACTAACTGAGGTCAACAGCTAGCCCTCAGGTTTTGGCGGGTGCACAAGGAATTGCGCAGGATGCTCCCTGGCAGAGCTATTGCGTAGTTCCGTAATGGCGCGGAAGCCGTCGCTACGCTACCTCCTCCCTTTCTAGGTCTTTCTTTTCCACCAGCGAAGGAGTGTGGGCTGCTGTGAAGTAGTTGGTTATGGCTCCATGGTTCCTGAGACCTTGGCTCTTGGCGTCACCGGTTTGGCAACACTTGGGGCAGCGATGCCGATGTGCCAGACGACCTCACCAGCGGAATTGGCAAACATCGTCATGTAGTAACTTCTAATTCTTGTTTTTCTTCCTTTCTTTTTCTTGTCCTTTTAATGCCTCTCCTATGGCCTTTGGTATCTCAACCTGTGATACATCCTAGAAAATTTCCCTTATTTTATTTACGTCAAGGCGTTTTCATTGTCTTTGTGGATACCGGAAAATGGGGACCTCCTTAAGATTGGGAAAATCCAGGAAAAATCCTGGGGTCAGTGTATAGAATTCGGCAAAGTTCGCACAATGGATGGGCTAACCTACTCTCTACTGTTTTCAAAGCCGCGGAGTGGAGAATTGCAGGGAAGGGCCTGGGAAGATGAAAACCCCATTTGTTTTTCCCTTCACTTGGGCATATTGAAACATTAACGCCTGTATGAAATTACGAAATAATCTTCTAACAAGCTTAATGAATTTCAAAAGGTCAAGTTTATATTTGATCAGAGTGTCAAGAATTCGCTTTTGAGGTTCTGTTTCCTATGTCAGGTGTTTTCATGTCACTACAAGGTGTTACTACTCAGTTGTCTCTCCCCACCCCCTCCACCCCCGCCCCCTTTCACTTTCCATACATCTGAAAGAAAGATCTAGTACCTGCAGCATTGAAAGAGAAGCCATGGATTCAGCATACTCTAGGGATTCAAAATTGTAACTTTTGGTGACAGTGATGTTGGAGGTCTTTACAAAACACATAGCTATTAAGGACATAAGTTTTGGTTTATGTTACTTGGGGTGAGGGTAGAGACCGGTTGAATCTGGAACAAAGTTTTATTCAATTAACTGTTTAAATGACCAAAATAAAAAGGTCAGGGTAATGACCCTTTGTGTTAATAGTTGGATATGAATAGTCTGAAACTAATAGTTGCCTTAACGGTGTCATTTTCATTTACCAAATTATACAGTCCGTCCTTCTCTGCCTATGCTTTTCTGAGCATTTTTCTAGTTTTGTTATCTTTCCTCATTTAACAACACGGTATTGAAATACATGATAAAGTACTAGTTTTTCAATTTTTATTTTAAAAACTTGGGTAGATATCTGCTGTCTGCATATATCACTTTTAGGTAGGTTCTTTATGACTTTAATTTTTAAATTTTCTCACTGACTTGAAAAAAATACTTAACACTATATTAACCTCTGTTCTTTCTTAGGAAGCAGAAATAATGTGTAATTATTTAGTTATTTTTTTTTAAATATTGGGGAAATTAAAAAACAAGTGACTTTTGTCCTTCTTTACCTGAGAAGATGGCCTTTACTGGGTTCTTATTTTAGAATTTCCTATTTTTCCCTTCAGTTGTGTTTGTTACTGCTTATATCTTTTGGGGTTCTGTTAGGTGTATGTAAATTTGTAATTGTTAATTTTCATGCATTGACATTTCACTCAATATATAACACTTTTGTAACAGTTTTTGCCATAACATCTTTTTGTCTAATTTTAGATTGCCCCTCTACTTTTCCTTTATTTTTTTCTATGGAATATCTTGTTCCATCTTTTAGTATTCCTATAATTTGAGTCTTTCTATATGAAGTGAGTCTCTCCTAGAAAGCATGTAGTTGGATTATTCATTTTTTAGAATACTTTATTTATTTGAGAGAGAGCAAAAGAGAATATGAGTGGGGGTCCAGAGGTGAAGGGCGGATGGAGAAGGAGAATCAGACTCCGTGCTGAGCAAGGAGCCCTGTGCAGGGCTCAATCCCAGGACCCCTGGGATTATGACCAAAGTCAAAGGCGGATGCTTAACCTACTGAACCACCCAGGCACCCCATATTATTAATTTTAAAATCCAAGTGTCATACTTTGCATTATTTATTTACTTATTTATTTATTTTAAAGATTTTATTTGTCAGAGAGAAAAAGAGCATGCACAAGCAGGGGGAGGAGCAGAAGCAGAGGGAGAAGCAGGCTTCCCTCTGAGCAAGGAGCCCGGATGCAGGATTCCATCCCAGGACACTGGGATCATGACCGGAGCTGAAGGCAGCCACTTAGCTGACTAAGCCACCCAGGGCGCCTATATACTTTGCTTTTTAATTGGCAGGTTTACTCCATTTACATAAAAATAATTACTAACAGACAAGTTTATTTCTGTTAATTTGTTTTTGTAGGTCTTTTTTCTCTGTATTACTGCTTTCTTTTGTGTTTGTGTTTTTTGTAGTGTAGCATTTTATTTCTCATTTCTTTTTCTATACATTGTTTAGTTTTCCATTTTCTGGGGATTATAATTGGCAACTTCAGTTTATAACAAATCAATTTGAATTAACATCAATTTTTCTTCAGTAGTATGCAGAAAGTCCGCTCCTATATAGTTCTGCCCTCCTTTCTTTTGTTACAGTGTCTTAGACTATATCTTTATAGATGAAATAGTTTTATTAATGTTTGTAATTTGTCTTTTAATCATGGAGAGAAGAAAGGAGATAAAACCAATAATGTAATAATAATGGTTCTCTTATGTAGCTATGTTTACTATTGTTTATTTCTTTGTATGGCTTTGAGTTGCTGAGTGATAGCCCTTCATTTCTGTCTCAGGATCATCATTTTCATTTTTTGAAATGAACAGACATCAGCACTGAACTCTGGAAGCCAGATTCTGCCCCTACTTCCTAGGGTTCCTGGTTGCTGCTTATAAGGGGTTGTTGTTTAGTAACTTTTTATGCTTTGGCTAGTGGGGGGAGGTTGCTTTTTTGTTAAATTTTTTATTTTATTTTATTTTTTTATTGGAGTGTGGTTGACATACAATATTGTTTTCAGGTGTACAACAAAATTATTCAACATTTAAACATGTTAACGAAATGATCATATGCTTCATCTCATTACTATTTGTCACCATCTTCAGCTTTTGTTTATTTAGAGATTAAAACATCTCTTTGTTTTGAAGGATAGACTTTGAGTTTATCATATCTAAAGTTCTTTTAGTTCATTGGATGTGTAGATGAATGGTGTTCCTCAAATGTGAGAATTTTTTTGGCTATTTCTTCTAAAAAAAATTTTTTTTTTGGCATCTTTCTCTTTCACTTCCCCTTTAACTCTCATCGTGTGTATGAGGGTATGCTTCCCAGTATCCTAGAAGTCTCTTAAGCACTCCTGATTGTGTTCATTCTTCTTTCTGTTTCTCGGACTAATTTCAGTTGACCTAACTTCCAGTTTGCTGATTCTGCTGCCTGCTGAACTCTGCTATTGAACCTCTCTCTTTAATGGATTTTGCTTTTACAGTTACCGTACTGCTCAACTCTGGGATTTCTATTTGGTTCTTTCTTTAAATAATTTCTCTTTACTGATGCTGTTATTTTGTTCGTATATCGTTTCCCTGATTTACTGCTTTGTTTAAGTTTTATTTTTTTAGTTTAACACTTCAAGCACAGTTACAACACTTGGTTCAAAATGTACTCCGAATTAGTTCTATACCAGGGTTTGCTCAGGGACATTTTCTCTTAATTTCATACCTGTAATTTGCCCATCTTTCCATGTTTCTTTGCATAATTTGTAATTTTTCTGTTGGCAAGTAAATGTTGTGAATGTTATAATGTTGTCAAACAAAAACAAATTGTGATTTGATAAGACACCTT